AAGGAAGAATAATAAAACAAATACAGGATCCTTTTGCAGTTCCATTAGAGTAATCCTCTTTGATTCAAGCCATGCTCCACCATTACAGCCTTTAACTTTAGAATAGAGAACCACAAAGAACAAGGAAGGGAGCGTAAGAAGTGGAAGCAGACCAAGAACAATTCTGAATTCTACCTTATTTTGTTAAACTCATCATTTTCCACCACTCCGTGCAGGCACCTTGGTGAACATAATCAATGCCATCATAGGCATTGACTGATAGGGTCAGTCCTGTCATTTCTTTAGCTTTGCTGTCATCCATTCTTCATTCAGCAACAGCACCAAGCAAGGTATACATCCTTGCAAAATATTTTCAAGTTGTAGAAGCTTACTTAACTCCTGTATACATCCTGATCTCAAGCATACCTTGTGTGTCAGCAGTGGAAGCTGGGCTTACATTTTTTTTCTACTCTGTTACTTCTTCTTGCAGCTTCTTGTGCATCAGCGTTCTTCCATCCTGGAATAGCTCCCTCTGGTTTATAGTCTCATCAGTCCTGTTAGGCAATGTCAGGCTGGTCTTTCCTCCTCCTGTCTCCACTGCTATAGCTGCTATATAAAGTCTGTATTACAAAATAATAGGTTTTCTAAAGATCTTCATACAGTTGATCATCAACTGGGTACTTCAGAGATTGCAACCTTGCTTCCTGTCAAAGCAGCGTTCTGTATTAGGATTTTCTGTCACTGCAATAGTACTCTGGGTCCATGCAGCCTGTGCAGTCGAATGCAGTGAGGCTGCAAGTGTTCATAGAGCAAAGGATCAGCTTTGGCGGGAATGGACTTCAGTTTGCTTAGTAAAATTTGATGGGACATCTTACACAATTCAATGGAGGATAATGTGGTTGCACACTGTACATGGTTCTGTGTGTGAGTGATGTCTGACATTTGCTGCTCTTGTATACTTTACCCTATATCCCTCCCCTTCTTCCATGCTCCTTCCCACCAAGTTAATTCCTCCTTTCTTGAAAGGGCCCTCAGGGGCTGGAAAGCATTATGGACTGCATACAAAGTGCATATTCAAGCTGTCTATTTGATATTTTGGCATATTCTTCTCTCTCTGCTCTGGAATTCAGTGCAGCTGCGAAAGTGCATGTCCTTGTTTTTCATAGCCTCTTTGCTTTCTGCCTGTACCTGAGTTATAGCAGATGATATGAGAGTGTTCTGTGGGAGTATGGAAAACTTTTCTACTAGAAAATAGTAATGTTAGAAATAACAGTATTTTAACCCACAAATTTCCAAGCAAGCCACCTAAGAAATAAGTATTCTGCTATGAGGGAGTTGATAGCATATTATACAGGAGGAGAAGCAAAAGCCTACTTAGACAAGACTATATATTTGATGCCAGCAAATTTGAGAAAGCTGAGAGAGTAGCTTCCCTGTCAGGCTGTTAATGACAGCCCATGCTTCTCTTCATTGTTGCACTGTGGGTGGGCTTGTGCTGCATAATAGAGCTAAATTTGCTGGCTTATGTACAGAAGCAATCCAGCAATAGCAGGTTAGATTTGGAAAATCAACTTGCACAGAGCTCTTCAATTCCCCAGCGCTCATTCTTTAGGATTGATTGTTCTGCCATAGAGTGCTAAAGAGGAACTCTCAGGAAGAAAAGTAAGTACAGCTATAATGTCATCAGCACAAGAAGACTAAGGTGGCCGTCTGCATTTTAGTAATGTTTGTCTTTACTTGGTCTTACAAAGCTGCTACAGCACTGGATTGAGAGACTGGAATTCGGTGGATTTTTGTGTAAATGGTGTTAGAGAAAGAGATGATGTTTTACTGGGAGTTGAGAATGTACAGTTTTGTTCTTTCTTGTTTTTTCTGATTTCTTTATGGTCTGAATGAGTAGAGGGGCAGCCCAACAAATGAGGTTGCATCTGAGAGCCGATTTCTTTCTCTTGCAACAGCAATGGAGAGGTAACAGAGGGGAAATTCCTCTGGGAATACTCCTGCAAAGTCTGTGCTTGCAGGACAATTAGAGCCCCTAGATTTATTTCAGCTGAGCTAGCAGGTATGGTTGTTGTCATGGCACATCATCAAAGCTAGGTGGCTTAGCACCTAGCTAATGTTACTGTGACATTGCATCAGTTCACGTTTCATGTACAGTGCAAAAGCATATTGCGTGGGCAGCCATCAAAGTCAAGATAGTTAGATACGGTGCTGTAACTTCAGCCTTCTTTATTGTATCGTGTAATTTCACAAGCCAGGGGACATGGCTGCACTGAGATGATGTGTATCTTTCCTGTGCTGGGATTCTGGATGATAATCAGAAAGGGCAGGCAACCAACTCAGGAACTGCAGTCCTGCTAAGCCAGCCAAAGGAAGTGGTAAAAATGCAGAAATGGCTGCATCTTCCTTCCTCCTACAATCACAGCAGTTAAACTAATTCCATTTAGCTCCATGAGGATGTTGCAGTTTTCAGCATGAGCTCTCAGCATGTTTGTAATGGCAAAGATTGACATATCATCACCTCATGAGTCAATGTATTTGTATTAGCCTGTGGATTACCCTGATTTTCTTTATGGAAGTGCTGAAGAGAGCTATACTGCCTCTCTTTGTATCTCATAAGAGCTCCTCTTTGGTGTGTACATGAAAAAGAGGCACTTCTAAGTCCTGCTTCTGAGTGTCTCTTCAGGAAGTATTAAGAAGGTTGTGTTCCTGTGTGTTGTCTTTCTGCTGTTGATTCTAAGATGCTCTGCTATATTCTCCATTTCTGCCTCTCCAGTTCCTGTTGGCCTTCAGGAAACAAAGGACAGACCAAGGTGTGGATGAGGTGAATCTTGCATGCAAATGCTCAGGATTTATTCCTCTATCTCAGCAAAAGCAGAATATTGTCCCTTGCAATACAGAACTTCCCTGTGGCTGTTGGAAGCATGCTAGTCTTTGAATGATAGCCAGCTCATTTCCAAAAGGGAGAGAAGCCAATGGCTGTGTTCATAAATGTCATAAAAACAAGCAACAGGATGTGTTTTTATTTTCTCCTGTCATCGTGGTCTTTGCATACAGTTTCAAGGATCTGAAGATTCCGGGCACTCCCTTAGCTTTCTTAGGAGAGTTTTGCAATTTCTGCTTGTCCATAGGTGGGCTCCAAGGGGCTTGCCTTGTATTTTGGCTTCCAAAACTAAGCCAGACTTATTCCTGACCTCTTCTTCCTCCCTCACAGTGTTTCTCCCACTGTGCATTGACCAGATGCTGTGATTAAATACCAGGCTGCTTCTCAACTAAGAATTAAATGATGGAGATAGCTTCAAGTAAAATATTGGTGAAAATGTGCAATTTATTTGCCTCTCCCTACTGTGTATGTTTATTGTGAAGACCCGGATGTCTCTGGGTAGGGGCTACCTTTCTAAATTGCATTCTCATTTGTAAAAGCTATATGAGAAGGTTAATGGGGATCTCTGTTCTCCACCTAAGCTCCAGTGCTTGCTTGCTTTCTTGCTTTTTCGGGTTGCAGACTCCCCTTCACTAGTGATTTAGTTTACCATGGTGGTAAGGTGGGGCTTTTATTTTTCAGACTCCATAGCTACATTTTAGAGGCAAAACTAGTCATACTGGAATGTCAGCAAGAATTTTCTCCCTTCAAGTTCTAAACAAAGACATTTTCAGTGACCATTTAAATATCAATCCTACCAGTTTCTGAAACAAAGTCAGTGACAGTGTGAAAGTGCTTTTCTTTTAAGGTACTTGGGTTCTTATTTCTCCATCAGCTAGAATGCCCCCGACTCACACCAGAATCTGGCTGCCTGCAGCATGCAACTGTCCTTCTCTCCTAGCTGGGGAAGGAATTTAGGCAGCATATGGAGAAGCCTTCTGGAATAAGTCAGAGCAAACAGTGCCAGTGTAGCATGTCTGACTGCCTATCCACTAATTCCAATGCACTGAAATGCTTTACTCTTCGGAGGAGACAGGCTTGAGTCTCAGTTTCATTTCAGCGTCATTTCAGTGTTCTCTCTTGGCACACTCACCACATGGACAACAGACACAATAGCTTAGTGCGGTTCTAAAAAAATTCTTCTTTAGAAAGAGTTTCTTCCCTGGTTCTTGGTATCACTGAGGGATAACCCCTTTCCCACTGCTGCTGCAGAGCACTAGTCACCACTTAAATGATATGACATAACAGTGTCTGTTCAGTGATGGCTTGATATTGAATGGCAACATTCTCTATCCATGCATCTTCAGCTGTTGCTTTTCCTCCTCCTCCTCCTCCTCTTCTCCTCTCTGATACTATCTATTGTTGTCTAGAGTAAGAAAATGCGAGCCAAATATGTCAAATTTGTAATATCATGACGAGTAAGAAATGAAGCAAACTGAAGTTGCCAGTTCCATAGTATTACTTTTAAAGGATTTGTGGTGCTTGTCTGCTGTGGAATTCTTGTGTATAAATCAACCATGTGAAAAGCATTAAATATGCTCAAAATACAGCACAGGAGTTCAGATCATATAAATAGATACAGCAAAATGTTGCATCTTGCCAAGGACGTTTTCGAATATTGAATGTGGCTTGCATAAAATAAATTTGTTCCCTTTCTGAAGTTTAGAAATGGAAGTTTCTGTGTTGCTATCACAGAAACTACCATGACAGCAGACACTCATGGCTGTTCTCCTGGTAACTTGAATGGGAGCCCAAGGGTCAAAAGCATCATGGAGATTGCCTCTTGCCCTCTAAAGGGGATCCTTCTGGGATTAGGCAGTTTCAGCAACTAGGGTGAGGAGAACCAGAGCTACTGAGGGTATCCGTCTCCAGGAATCTCTTGGCTCCAATTGTCAATGCTGAAGGACATTTTTAGAATAAGTTAATCTCAAAAGAGCCTAACTAAAAGGAGGAGATTGTAGTACCTACGTATTTTGCCTGCTCTAAATATGGCACAGCGTGTGTCTGACTCTGCAAGCAGCTCTGGCTCCTGAGCATGTGCTTGACAGCGTTGGTGAAAGCACCTGCTTGTCGGGGGCCTGTGCTTCCTCTGTTCCAGGTTCTCCGAGCCAGACCCCAGCCACACGCTGGAGGAGCGAGTGGTACACTGGTACTTCAGTCAGCTGGACAACAACAGCAGCAATGACATCAACAAGCGGGAGCTGAAGCCTTTTAAGCGTTATGTGAAGAAGAAAGCCAAGCCCAAGAAATGTGCCCGACGTTTCACTGACTACTGTGACCTCAACAAGGACAAGTCAATCTCACTTCAGGAACTGAAAGGGTGCTTAGGAGTCAGCAAGGAAGGAGGTGAGTGCCTTTCCTTCCCCATTGCATGCGAACAAAAGACTGACCTGGAGTTACAGCAAACTCAGGAGCTGTTTTTCTCCTACGTGATTCAAAATTGCCCCAGTTTGTGTGAGAAAATAAGTGGAATTAATGCCCTGCCATGTACATGTAGTTAGTTATTTGTGTTAAGGCTCTGTCTTACGTCCCTTACCACAGACCTTTGTGCTAACCTCTAGACAGAAACAGGGCAAAAAGATGAGCCTTGCCCAGAATCCTACTTGTACTGTAAGAAGTCCTTGGAAACTGTAGTTCAGATCAGGTCCCTTCTGAGTAATACACTGGTAACAATATTCTGTTGTCTCAAACTACGTAGGCTGAATGATGTATGAGCCAGCACAGACCCAGTCATTCTCCAGAGACCCTGCTGACTAGCAGAAATAATATTCATTTTCATTGCTAAATCCAGCACACAGGAAGGTGGATGATGCAGAGGGAACAATTCAGAAAGCAAGCACATGGCTATACTGTTGCCCTATTTCACAGTTAAATTACATTTTAAGATTGGGGTATAAAATAGGGCATATTAATAACATGTTTTCCCTTCTGTTTAGTGCCCAAGGAGCCAGCCCACCCTCCTTCCTTTTCTTCCACTTTATTCTTCACCTCATCTTCTGTTGGGACCTGACCAAACTGATATTTTTAGAAATTTTATGAATTTAAACTGTTCAACCCAAATTCAATAATTATCAGTCATTCTTGACTGTAGACAGACTTGCTTGGCAGGAGAAGGCAAACAGGGAGATTCCAAAGGACTAATTTCCTGTGCAGGTGTTTTGGCTGGATGGAGAGCTCTTGTTATAACTGTTGTGCCAGTTGGGAAGGGTGGGTAGCTTTCTTTCTCCAGGCGTAACCTTACCTTAGTCCTTACTTCAGGTTTAACATGACTGGAAAGGGAATCAGCGCATTTGGGTGTTGGGAAGTTGCCTTTTCTAGGTGCTTTGCAAGCACCTTAGTTATCATAATATGCCTATTGCGTTACTTGTCAGCTGTGAGAAGCATTCAGCTTCCCTAGCTCAGTGGAAGTTTTTTCCTTGTCATTGGTACCTTGCTGAGGAATGACATACCAAAATAGCAACCGTGTTCCTTAATTTTATTACTTTCCCAATAAGATGAATATGCCAAATGAGTTTTATTGCTATTTGGCCCGGAATAAGGCTTTCTGGAATCTGCTGACTTGGCCAACCACGTGTTCAAAGTGTAGTTTATGGAAGGTAAAAAAAATAAGGGTGAGGATGAAAACGTGAATCTTTGAGCCTGTGTAAAGGGAAAGGAAAGCAGTGAGACAATGTGAGTGCCTGATTGCCCAACTATTTGTTGAGAGCACAGCTTGACCTTTCATGGTTTATTCTCTTGCATGAGGACAGGATTGTGGGCAAAAAGGAGCTCTGACCTTATACTAGGTACAGCTCCACATACATACTGAAGGCCTGAGGGGCCTTGAGGATCAAAGATAAATGGCCAAGTTATTTGGAAGGAGGACTGAACGGGGCTAAAGGATATTGAGGGCTAAAAAGCAGTGGAGGAGGCAGAGCAGGGAGCAGGTACTAACATGCAGAAAAGAACTGAGGGAGGTTCTTAGAGGTTCAGTAAGCAAGTTTGTAAATGGATGTTTTTTAAGAAGGCATGAATTTGTGAGGTGGTAGATGACATGTTGGCTCTGCTTTCTAGTCACAAGAAACTAAGAAATAACCAGTAGCTTACCCTTTCTCCATCTTTCCCTTATCCTCATCATTGGTGTATTTAGTCAATCAACTAGTCTGTGCATTTGCTGGTCTGTTTCTTTCTCTGTATCATGGCCTCCAAACATCTGCTGGGGCTGAGGTCACTGGGGGTGCAAGCCAAGAGCTAGTTAGGAACCTTTTTGATGACATACTTTCACTTGTAAACTGCCAGCCAGATGAAACCAAAACTTCTCATGGAAAGGTTTCTATTTCAACAAAAGCTTTGTTGGAAAGTTTTTTCTTGTCTGGATTGGATGAGGAAGGGTTGGAGGGAGACAAGGAAAATCATCGTTTCCCCTTGATATACTTCATTTCAAATGAACTTGCCTCAGATGTTCCAAATCCTGGTTGGGTATCCAGCAGCGTAAGGACTAAAAAGAAATGGGTTATCATTCCAGGTGAGTGTGCCTCCTGCCAGGCAAACTGAACACTTGTCATGATTTTGAAAAGAATACAAATTTTATGGGGTTTGGGATGCTGAGGAAAATAAACTCTAAGGCTTCTGCCTTTGTATTTTGGGTCTTGTTCTTGGTGTTGGGTTTTTTGGTTTGGTTTTTCGTTTTGGGGGGGGGGTTTGCCAGCTTCATCCAAACGTGGAAATAATGTTGTGTGAAGGAAGCACAGGGCATAGATAAATCAGCACTGTTATATGCCTCTTGAGCACTAGATGGTCTAAATAAGTAAGATTTATGTGGAAGGATTCAGTTGGAATATTCATAAGGACCAACCTGAATCTGAGCTCTTTCCAACTTAGGATCAAACCTGTCTGAGAAGCATAGTTCTGTCTGTCTTCCCCTTCTCAGCATGTTCTCTGATGCCTGTGGTAACCTAATACGTGATGCTGCCAGCCAGTGATTCTTCAATCAGGAAAATAGTTACCCAGTCTGCCAGCAACCCTTCCTCTTTGCCATCCTTATGATGACCCAGAAACTTACTGGGAAATCTGCTAGGTCTGGTGGCCATTTTGCACAGCTCTTGCCCATCTGCTTAAACCAGATGTGTTTCTCTCAGAGGTAACTCAGATGGAAAAATGCCATTCCTGGATCTCAGAATGGAGTAGCCACATACAGCCAGCTGCTTGAGGACTTGCAGAAGCCTGCCAATGGTTTCTTAAATTGTGGAAGAACAGGAGTGGGGAGCTTGTAGCTTGGAGCACACCTGAAACAGTCTTTGCCATCATTTGATCTAGAATTGTCTGTTTGAGGAATTGTGGAAGGAAAATAGACTGATTTACAGCCTGTTTAAAGTTAGTATTCATCAGTGCAGTCTGCACAGCCTGAGTTAAGGGGGGAGCAGCCATCTGTGATCTAAGAGCGAATTTAGCTCTCTGCATTAGTCAAAAGGCAGGGTCCTTGAGAAGAGGTAGACATGCATTTTAAAGCTTTGCTGGAACGTTACTGGTCCCAAGATTAATTGGATTTCAGAGATCTTGGAGAGGAGGACTGCAGATCAGAGCAAGGCTTATACTGGTTGTGCTGGCTGCAAAATGCTGGAGCTGAGTTTTGCCTCTATATTCTTCCAAATTCAGAAGACAAAGTCAGCATTTTGTGCCTGCCCAAAGACGAGCTAAGGGATTAAACCGCAAAGAAGTGTCCCTCCACCAGCTGACAGAAAGTTTCCTTCTGCCAGTTCAGATCCCGTGATTGCTTTGCCATCCAAGAGCGTGTCAGATGGTAGGTGTTGGGTGCGTTTCACAGGCCGTGAGGACTTCTGGAACCTAGACACATTCTGTGCCAACAGCCAGCTACCAAGAGTACAGTCCAGAAACAGGATAAAAATGTCTTAATTAAAAAGAGAGAGAGTGTGTGCATGTGTAATTAAACAGCATGTCACTTTCTACTGGAGCTGGGCAAATACTACAGAAAGAAGGAAAAATAATGGACAATCTAACCAACAGATTTCATTCAGTGATGTTTGGGACCCTTCTTACTGATATCTGGAGAAGTAACTGATTCTCTGCATGCTTGGGAGGCTTCTGGGAATGAAGATGCTCCACATCACTGCTGTGTGAGCAGCTGTGTGGTAGCAGGTAGCAAGGAGCAGTCACCTGGGAAAGGCCTCTGGACTGATGATGGTAGAAAGCTGACAATAGTGTAAAAGGCTATAAGAAAACTGTAACCAGGTAATAACTGAGTTAATAAAAAGGAAATTCATAGGGCATCTAATATATGTGTGTGTATATACATATATATAAAAAATATATCTAGCCTAGTAGATTAGAATGTAAACGAGCTCCACTGATTCAGTGCCTGGTTTTGTTTGCTTTGTTCAGCTATCCCCCTTTGGAGCTCAGTAGAGGGGCTATAGTTTCTCACCCTTAATCTTGAGGGAAGTTACTGATGGTTATTATGAATCAGGACATCTTTATTGTGTTGAGCACACAAGGTAAGGCTTGTGGTAACATGTTCCTCCCCCATCAAAGGTTAAAGCTTTACTTGGTAAGTCTGATTGTTTCTACCTAGAAGAAGCTGCCAGGATTTCCCTGGGGCTCTTCCTTTTGAAAGACACCTGGCCTAATCCAGCATGGCTAGAATTGTTACCCAAAATAGCATACTTGTGAGGCTGAGCAAATACTTTGCATTATAAAACATTCTCAATGATGGAATGTTACTCTATAATACCCAAGGGCTTCCCAGGTATATGTTAATAACCAATTGTCACTATCTGCTATGTTCCTTCCTGTCTTTCATGTCAACGTTATGCTTGGTGTAGTGTTGTTTTTGAGGGGTTTTGATTTCTGTAAGTATACATCCTGGCGTGTGTTTTATTGAAGGCAGCTGGCTGAAGGCAATACTCTGCCTTTGGAACGAGAGGTGATGAGCTTCAGGGTAGTTTCCCAGCATGGATGTATGGTGCCACAGCAAGCACAGAGCCCTATGAAGCTGCCCAGGCTGGAGTATCCCTGCCATTTTGAGGATGCTCCCTACCTTTTGCATCAACTTACCTGGAGCTCCCCACCTCTTTCTGAAGACAAATAGGTCTCATTCACAGCAACGCACTGTAGGCTTAGGTGCACTGAGTGCAAAACGTGGGTTTTTGGATGTCTTCTTGTGTACCTGGCTGTGCTCGGCCCCTGGCCCTTGGGGCAGCCTGGCCAGAGGGTACCATGGCTCATAACTGCCTGGAGTTTTATTGCCAGCTCCCTGGGAGAGTGCCAATTAGCTCCAGAGGAGTCTGCCTCTTGGCAGCAAACCTCTGCTTTTTATACATGGGTACAGAAATAAGTGAACAATGGTTCCTCTGATCTCACCAGGGCAGATGGCCGATCTGAGGTTGGCATGTGGGGACCTTGAAATAACTCACCATGTTTATACAGTTTCTTTTATTAACAGTCTCTAAAGCCAACAGGTTATGCTTTGCAACCCACTTCAAACTTAGCCACTGCCACCTTTCTTTCCCCCTTTCTTTCCTTTCCCAGTGGTTCTGTTTCTGTCCTGCTCTCCAGCTTCCTGTCCCCCAAGGCTTCCCCAGTCCGATCCCTGCTCTCTGAGCTCATCTTGCTCTTGCACAGAGCAAAGTGTGTTCTCGCTGCCAGCATGCAAAGTACTTAATGTGCAAAGAAAGCTGTGCAATCAGGTCAGATGCACATATACAAATCAAAGATAGGCTGGGTTGGAGTAGAGAGTGGCAACAGGCTTACTGCTTCTGGCAGGGAGCAGGAGCTCCCATTTCTAGCTAACCCCTCATCTGAAATCAGACCAAGCAGCTAGCAGGAAATGTGACATGCTTTCTAGACCTTCTGTGATCCCTAGCTGATGTCTACTACATGCTGTCTGTACCCTGCACATGGTAGGAACAGGTTTACTGTTGAGGTGAGAGCCGTTGTTGTGAGCTCCATCTGGTGTCTCATGATGCAGTCACAGCTCTGCACTGCCCCTGCCCTTCTTCCAGGTATGAGTTCAGGTCTTTGATTTTAGGCACCTGTTTGATTGTTTGGTCCAAGGTAAAGATCTAGTAAATTTGGGCTACCTATATTGCCTGCACCTTCACTCTCTTCTGGCTTCCCCCTTTCTACATGACATTTTGCTTGCTGTTAGCAAAAGCTGTTTTGAGAAACTTCATGGCACTACTTGCACTCTTCCTTTCTTCTTCTTCCTCCTTCCACAGTTTAGTTTAACCTTGTAATTGTTACTTCTTGCCCACACCAAACCTCTGGATTTCATGATGGTCAACTACTACAACACCAGGTATTTAACGTCTCTCATTTCAAGCACGTTAGTCTGACACTTGAATGAGTCTTAAGCAGTGCTGGTAGGACTTGCTGTGTGCATGCTCAGAGGAGCTCCTTTGAGCCTGCCCTCTGGCAGCAGACAGTGGGGAGGCTCCTTTGTCATGCCACGGCATTTATTGCCTTTAATGTGGTTCTTGGATTTTACAGGTAGCCTGAGCAGTTTCCCCAGTGGAAAAAGACAAGGCCTTAACCCTTTCAGTGAGTATCTTGTCAAAATGTTTCCTTTTTGTCTGTGGTAACCATGTGTCCCAAAGTTCATTCTCCCCTGCTCTCCTATGTTCACGAAGACCAATATAGAAACAGCTGGAAGACGTTGTTCGCAAGAGATGTGAATGTACTAACACACAGCTGCTGCATCATCTCAAAGTCCAGCACTTTAGTGTCTTTAGCCAGGGTACTTTGCTAAGGAATTAGAATGGGATACTGCAGCTATTGGATCAGCACTCTCTTTCCCTATTCTCACTGCTTCTATCGAGCAATGATTTAGGTAACATTTTTGTTTATATTACTCCATGGACAAGTTCCCATGAAGACTCTTCTCTGTCCCTGTGAAGGTGTCTCCTCTGTATTTTGTGGCAGTAAATCACACCCTTTCATCAGGCTTTATTTGATTTGTTTTGCTTTTAGACCTGCTGCCTCATGGTTTCATTGGGTGCTTCTCATTTTGGACTGTGAGAAATAGTGGGCTGTTCTCCCTTGCCTATCTTTCTCCTGCCACTTGCTGTTCTATAGCCTCCAACATATGTCTAGTTAGACTCCTTTTCATGTTGAGGTCTTCCCATACCTCTTGATATTCTCCTTACTTTTCTGGGTACCTTATCTGGTCATAATGAGATGGGCTCAACCAAGAACTGAACATAAAGATCAGCTAAACCTTATACAATGATGTAGTGATGCTTCCTAGTGTGTCTTTGGTTCTGATCATGTATTTCATTTTTGCCTGCTGCTAAAAGCTGAGCGGAGGCATTCAAATATTGCATAGGACAAGAAGTAACAGCCTCAAGCTACAGCAGAGGGGGTTTAGACTGAATACTAGGGAAAATTTCTTCACCAGAAGGGTAGTCAGGCATTGGAACAGGCTTCCCAGGGAAGTGGTGGAGTCACCATCCCTGAAAGTGTTCAGAAACCATATAGATGAGGCCCTCAGTGATATGCTTTAGTGGTGGTCTTGGCAGTCCTGGGGTAATGGTTGGACTTGATCATCTTAAAGGTCTTTTCCAACCTAGTTGATTCTATGATTTCGTGATTCTGTACTATGGCTGCAGCCTATTTCTTAGTCACTTAGTGTAGGACAGGTCATCCCTACTCCCCACTCACATACCATGTTGCATGTATAGACATTGAAGTCAATCTGCTGGTTTTATGAGCTGGTTATTGAGCAATGTGAGTGCCTTTTCCAGAGCTGTGCAGTCAATTTAAAATCTGGAATAATTTTGCATTTGACATCGTTCGGCCCCCATGGCAGGGCATGTCAATTAACACTGATCCCAGTGAGGCCTGTCTTTCTCCTTCCAAGAACCAAATCCATACTTCTGCCTTCTCTTCTACATGTTTTCACCTGTAATTAATTCACAGAGCTCTTGCTCTGATCCTGTAAGAGCTTTGACTCTTTAAGAACCTTTGATGAGGGGCTTAACAAAAGCCTCCTGAAGAAAAAAGCGTGGGGATGTGCTGTCATGGTTTAAGCCCTGTTGGCAAGCCAGCCACACAGTCTCTCTCTCACCCACACCCCACCCCCACCCCCCACCCCCACCTTTTTGCCCTCCCCCTGCTCCCAGAGGGAGAGGGATGAGGAGGAGAATCGAAAGAATGCAACTCCCATGGGTTGAGATAAGAACAGTTCCATAACTAAGGTATAACACAAATCACTGCTGCTACCACCAATAATAACAATGATAAAGGAAATAACAAGGGAAGAGAATACAACACCTCACCACCAGCTGACCGATAACTCGCCCCCCCCAGCCCGGCCAAGCTCTGACCGATACCTCCTCCAACCCCGCAGTCCCAGCCCTTCCGGCTCACTCCCAGTTACCTCCTGGGCATGACGTGCTGTGGTATGGAATACCTCTTTGGTCAGTTTGGGTCAGGTGTCCTGTCTCTGCTTCCTCCCGGCTTCCCCTCCTCCCTGGCAGAGCATGAGGCTCACAAAGTCCTTGCTCAGTCTAAACATTTGAGCAGTAACTAAAAGCATTGATGTTGTCAGCACTGTTCCCAGGCCGAAAGTCAAAAACACTGCACTGCACCAGCTACTAAGAAGGAGAAAAAATGACTGCTACTGCTGAACCCAGGACATGTGCATATCTGTCTGAAATGCCAAGCAGCACCCTTGCACCATTCACTGGGACGCTAATAGCTCAGCAGGTTCCTGGGACACCCAGCTCCAAGCATTCTGTATCTCCGCCACAGATTCAGTATCTTGGTAGGCTTCAGAGTGCCCTGTGCAGGCAGGTCTCTAAGAACTATGGAGCAGGGAGAGCACTGCATTGTGCTGTTGCGGAGGTGGGAAGAGGTAATAAGAGGTGGCTCGCCTGCTAGGGGTGGCTATGGCTCATGGAGGAGATAGTGGCTGGGCAGCCTGGCAGCAGCATCAGCTATGGCAGGTGGAAGAGCAGAGGGAGAGACGTTGCACCAGTTGTTTTCCCAGACAGCATGCCCATGTCCAAGGCGGGGGAGGGAGAGGAAAGTTGTGGTTTATGTTTAAAAACAATTTGGTTCCTAGGCCTCCATGTGATTCTTTCAACACTCTTTTCAGCAAGGCTGTCTCACTAGCCTCTGGCTGTTTTCAGCCTCACAGCTTACTCTGGGATCTCAGCCTTCTGGGGTCACGGCTGCAGCAGAAGCTGTACTGCATCTTTATCAGTCAGGTGCCCCTTTGGTTTTAATTTGTCTTTTTCTCCTCACTTTCGCTGCTTCTGTTTTGTTCTTTTTTCCCTCCTTATCCACCCCACCTCTCAGTAGGTCGCCTGGTGTAGCAGCAGAAGACAGGAAGGGAAGGCAGGAGCCGACCCAAAGGAAACAAAGATCCAGCAATAGACGGACAGACACCTTGCTGCTTGCAAGCAAGCATGCAGCATCAGCAACATCCAGCGTAGCAGAAGTGGCACCCAGAACGTTTGCACTTTTTAATAATTGGTTTGGGTTTGTTTTTAATTGCTTTTCAATGCCATTATCTAATATTTTGGAGAGTGGGGGGAAGCAGAATCGTGTGTTTTTAAAATTGGAACAGCTACTGATGCCGTAAAATTGAGTTCACTGGGACTCAAAGAAAGAATTTTATATACTGTATATAAATATATATGTAAATTGTACAGTTGTCTTGTACAGGGGTTGGAGTCACTGTTCCGTTCCTTCCTTTGCTTTTGAAGGCTGTTAGGGTTAGAGGGAGACTTTGCATGTAATGGATTACAGTACTGCATTCATTTCTGCCACCAAACCATCATTCAGTTGCAAACCTTAACACCCACATGCAAAAAGGAGCAAGTGTGTCAGCATGGCATGTGGTTACAGATGTGCATGAAGTGCCCAGGTACTAAGTGCTTCCTGGGAGCAGCTGAATCCTTCTTTTCTTACTGTAAAGCCCTGTGCAACTCACAAGCAATTGGGCTTTTGAGACAGCACAGATTTCGCCTAAGTATTGGTGTGCTGCTTAACATAGGGATAAAAAGGGGTTATATTAAGGACATACAAAAGTAGTTTCTGCACCTGTTGCAAGAAGTGAATTGCTAGTGCATTACTATCCAGGCTCAGAAGACATGCTCAGCAAGGATGTACCATGCCTTGGGGTTCTAACACTGTAGGAGGAAGTAGGAGCCATAGGCCTAGTAGAGTCAGTGGAGTGAAGTCTTGCATCTTCCTCTGTCAAAGTATTCATCTGTATCTTGTACAACAATAAAAATATGCGAGGCCTGCTAAAAGCAGCATTAGCTTTCCTGTTGCTTTGCTGACAGTGCAGAAAGACGCAATCATGCTGCTGGTCTCCAAGAGTCTGGTTTACTTAATGTTTCAATACTACAGCTTGGGCTATGCTCATTAGTGAAGACCTGTCTGCAATGACTATCCTTGTCTTTGGTGGTTATGAATCCCAAGCTCCTCTCCTGCATAGTGGTGTGCCTGCCTAGCTTAGAATGTCCACTTCAGCCTGTGCACTGTTACCAGTGCCTCCCAAGTTATCACACCCCAGTGTCACAAAAATAGTGAAGACTTGAATTGAGGAGCCTGGTGTTCTGGGAAGCCACAGGGTCTATTTCAACTACCAGCAGTTTTTCCAAAGTAGTTTCTTACTTAATCTCAGATACAATTGTAAAGTCAGCAGTAAGACAGGGACACCGGTATTGGCAGTCCTAGGTTTGGACAGAGTGTGATGGGCCACAGTGTTTTATTTTGTGCATTTCCAACCACTGGCAGCACTTGCCTGTTCATAAGAAATGTTCTGAGCAGCCTCCCGCTTCAGGCCTAGTGGTCCTTGTGCCTCTCATCTCTGTAATCAGAGATGATGACATGCCATGCTAATATGAGATCATACCAACAATTTCTTGTAATAGCATTGCATTACTGTAGAGAGACTGGGCTTGTTCCTTGAGGTTTTGTTGCTTTGGTAAAAGATGTTGTACCACAGCATCTTCACTCTGGCATGATATCATGATGATAGCATGACATAAATGCATCACAGCAGGAGTGTCCTGATGCAGTAAGTTAATGCCTTGTTGACAAACCAGAAAGTTTAAAAATCAGAAAAACTAAACAAAAAATCTTTCAATAAGTAACTACTTAGTGATAGCTCTTCATTTAGGAAGCAGATTTGAGCTAAATAAAGCATTTGGCATGGTTGAAAACACCTCTGGTAATCTCTGAAGTATATATCACAACAACAGACTATAAAGAAGTTATCTTCTTAGCAAGAGCAGATCCTGCTGCTGGATCTTCATGGTTTCTCGCATACAATGTATGTGCTCTCTTGGCCTATAAGATCCTATCTTCTTGATTGCATCTTCTCCTTTTAAATGCCCAGGGCACATCTTTTGTTTGTTGAAATGATTTGGTTTATTATATAGTTAGAAATGCCAGCGTCACTCATTAATCCTATTGTAGGAATAAAGAATGAATCCAACTGTAAAACAAACAATACAAAACCCTCTCCTTTTTTAATATGCTAGTTTGAAGAATTAAAAGCTGTGGCTGCTGGGTTGGTGTTTTTTTTTTTTTGGTGGGTTTTTCTGTTTTGTTTGGTTTTTCTTTATGTATAGTTGCATCCGTCAAAAACAGCCAGTTGGATGCCTATAGGACTTCTGTCAGCCAGCCACTGGGGTAGGGCAATGCTCCACAGGAGTGCCAAGGGACTGCAGAGCTGCTAAAAGTCACTACATCTTTTCTTCTGGAAATGTCAGTAAACCAGCCATCCAACAGCCAACTCCCCTGCCTGTCACATAAATCCTTCTGCACACCTCCTTTATCTCACCCTTATGTCCTTCCCCTCCAAAAGCCTGTATTCACATGTAGTTTGCAATTAAAATTGCGTCAGTTCTTCAAGGAAGCCAAGCAAGGCATGGCTGTTGATGCCAGCTTTGGTACTGATGTGGATTCATGTTTCTATGCTCAGCTTTATGGATGGATTGAAGTCCAAGCGTTATAATGCTTTCCCCTTCACCTTCACCAAACAAGTCAAAGGCTCTGCTTGTACACTGGCAAGCAAGACCCAACCAGCATGACTGTGTAATGTCCAGACAGAGGTTAGGTTATGTGTTCTGGGTTTGTTTATTGGACGATCATGCAGACAATACCGTCCCTGATTCATGCAACCTACCCTGTGAGCTTTCCAAACAGCCTGTACTCATCAGAAGAGAGCAGTGCCTCCACTCCCCACTTCCCTTGTTACTTTTATTGCCAGATGTTTGGCTGCCAGGCTAAACCTGTCCTTATCTATCAGTGGTAAGCATTCTTCTCTGCCTTGCATCAGTAGCATCCTACTGAAGGTGGGGCATGGGGAGTGTCAGCTTTGTGCCTGGAAGCAGACCCTGGGCATGTCTCTCCTCATCCTCAAAGTCCTCCTTGGCCTCTCCAGCTCTGCTTTGAATGACAGCTGAAAAACAGCTGGAATAGAGAAGAGAACCAGGGCTCCATTGTGCAAGTCATCTGTTCTTCCTGCCAGAAGCAAAAATCTTTCCTTTTTTGCTGATACACCAAGGACATGGTGTGTTGGATGGAACTGCGTTACAGTGGGATTCATCCATGTGAAGGCACTGCTTTCCATGGCCTGAGTTTATATTGGACTTACCCTGCCCCAGCACATTTCTGCCTATGGCATTGTTTGTTAGACTGAAAGGCATCTGTTTGATTTTGGTTTTGTAATAAAATAGATAACTTTTGCTCCAGTGTCTTGTGGTGGTTTCTTGTTGAATCCTGATTTCCAGAACTTCTCTATTCCACATGATATTGTGACCTACACAGTGCCAAAGGAGAGGGAAGGGGACTTTCCTGCTTGTAGAGTCATGTGTCAGTCTTTGGTTGGGATCTGAGTTCACGGGATGTTTCGCTCCTGTGTGTAAGCCTCCAGGATAAATTAAAACATGTCCCAGAGTACTGCTGTGTGGTGACAGCTCCCTGAATCTGCCCAGGCTGCTTAGAAAGGCTGTGAAGCTTCAGCAGGAGAGTAAGAGTTGACCTCAGAAGGTGGCGCCCACAGCAAAGTGCGATTTCATAGCACAGTCTCCCTAAACCAGGGCTTGAAGACAGGCACTGCACCTCACATCTCCTCATCCCCTTTCACAAGGGAGCCTTCATACTTTTGCAGGTCAGGCCTCACAAAATGGGAGCTTGAAACAGTATCTTCTAGCTGTTGTCCAAAACCTTTTAATCCTCACAGATGACAAATAAGCTATGCTGGGAAGCTGCTGCTATTGTAGAACATGCTTTTTTTTCTAGGCTATGGAGAGGTAACATTCATCAGAGGCTGCAGCACCAGGAAAAGGCCATGAACTGTTCCCATCAAACAAATATGACCAGTTCTCTCATCGCTATGTCATTTCACTTGATCACATGTGAATCTTTTACAGTTAATAAGGAGCCAACTCATTTATTGCACATCAAAGGGAAGACAGTTGCAGTCCCAAAGGGAGGTTTTCTGCTTGTATAGTAGTCACAGGCTGGGTTGTTTGCAGATAGGCAGAAAGGGGCCTTAGTAGACTGTTGTCTTTAGATGCAAGTTCAACAATGAAAGCAGAAAATGCAGGGATGAGTGATAGCCAATGTGGATTTGTCAAGAATAAACTGTCAAATTGAGCTCATTTTCTTGTATTACCAAGGTAACAAGTTTTGGGGCTAAGGGAGAAGCAGTCATTGCCACCTCTGGAGTTCTGCAAGACTTAATTAAAAACAGGAAAAGAATATTACAAAAAAAAACCAACTAAAAGAAAGATTGTTTGGCTGTGCTTCCTTTTTCTGGAGTCAACATAAGGTACTCTGAGAGCTCTTCACCCTTCCCCGATGGTGCAGTCATTCTGTAAGCAAGTCAAAAGAACTGCAGAGCTTGCTTCTGCTTCTGACAGTGATACTGCCAGAAGACTTTTCCTCCTCCCCCACCATCTTCCCCTTGTCTTTGATATAACTAGTGAAATCCACATGCAGAATGACAACCTTCTGACTTCTCAGCAGCCAGCCCTTACAAGCCTTTTCAGGCAAAATAACTTGGCAACCCTCTGAAAGCTGATGTTATACTGGACAGCAGGATCTGCAGAAGTAGTGCTCCTTAGTTTGGAAAACGCCTTGAAAACAAAGTGTGTTATAAAACCACCACCTTAGGAACTATGTGTGTAACAGCAAGCATTTTGTATGGAGTGTTTGCCAGAAAAAGTGAGGCTGGCTGCTTTGGGAAGCAGTGATGCTTTCTGCCGTTCTGTATCTGCGGGCTTGCTTACTGATTGTAATGGGTTTTGTTTTTCAAAGGTGTCTTGCCTGTGTACACCAGGAGGTGTTTAGTGTTCATTCACAAAACATCACCAGCTCTATGCTGTGTTATAGCACAAACCTATATCCGCAGCCTTCTGCAATGAATATTTATTCCACATTCATTTTGTAGAATAACTGTTCATTGCAGGAGGTTGGGGATATAGGTTTATGAATGAATAAATAAATGAACATAAATGTTCATTTATTCTTTCAGCACACTGGGACTGGGCTGTAGATCTGAATACCAGAACATGTATGCTGTGTGGCTCTTGCAGAGACTGAGGTTCCACACCTTGCCTGCTCTCAGATGCCAGCAGCAATAGCAGGCCCAGGTCTCCTACAGGCAGCTCACAACTATGTGGCCCTAGTTTGATGCTCAGAGTAGCTCCTCAGTGCAAGATCTGGTTGTCAAGTACAGGTGAATTCACCTTCCTAAATTAAACAAATTCAGTCCCAGTACAAAACAAATCCTTAACTCATTGCTTTTTGTTACATGAGCAAAGGCCTCACTTCAGTGAAATGAATTCTTCTGTAGTATCTCAGGGCTGTACTTCAAGCACTAAAAACTGCAGAGTTTGAATGTCCAATGCTCCTTTATCCAGTACAGCTCAGGCTTTGCATAGCACAAAGCACCACTGCTATCTCCTTCAGTCATAATTTTGTCAGGGACCACTGAAGTGTAATCCCTGCTGACTTCACCATGTCAGAAAAGAGTTGACGTAGTATTTGACTGAAGAGATGGAGCTATTTCTGAGGTGACTTGGATGTTCTCACTATGAGCTGGCAGGTTGTAACAGATGAAGCTGTATGAAAGTGGCTGAAGTTGGATCTGTTCAGCTGTAGCCGATCATGAATGTGATTTTTTGCACCTCTTGAGCTGTTAGGGTTATTTCAGGGGTTTAGATGTCTGCTGCAAGCTTTTTCTCCTCAAAATGCTGTTGAATATGAGGCCTTTGTAAAAAGAGTTAATCTAAAGTGCTGAGACTCCAAAAAAATAAAATATCAAATATCAAATGAATTCAGAAAACTGGTGGGTACGGTCTGTGAAGAGATGTCATAAAGTATAAAAGAGATCAGAGACCTGATGAAAGAGCTGGGGGCAAAGTCCCAGTAAGAAACTACCCTGCTGCAAGGGAAACAAAGGGAGCGTAAGTAGAGACCAGTAAAGGGGATCAAGAGCTCTTTGACGTCTTGAGGCACAGAAAGGAAAAATATGAAACATGGGATGGGTGTTGGAGCATTGTAGACTACATGTGAGCTTCCAGGGGACTTAAGGCAATATCACCCAACTAGAGATGGAAGAAAAAGCTAGAGAATTACAGACCTGATGTCCAATATACCTATGTAAAATCTTAAAAGAGCGAGCTGCTGACCAGTTATTCTCTAATCCCCTACATAAAGCTATAAATTTGTAAAAAAAGAAAGCTTGGAACGGGTTTGTTCATGTCTTGCTGGGGACAAATCGCATCAAACTAATTTGATTCCATTCTTTGACAGGATAACTAGCCTCACAGCTACAGGGGTCAGCCCTAGATGTGATATATCTTGACTTTGGTAAGTCTTCTGGCACTGTCCCAGAAGATGTCCTTATAAGTGAGCTGAGGAAGCACAACCTATTTAGACTGACAATACGTTGAGTTCAGTGTCAGTCAGAGAGCTTTCTGGGGAAATCTTTGCAGTGGCTGCCCAGGGTCCAGGTCTATTCAGTATTTCAATCAGCAGCTTTAGAAAATTGCTTTGCTATGAAATTTCCTGTTAATATCCAAGTGGAGGGGTGGCCCTGAGAGCACCTCTAAGGGTAGGTCCAAAATGCTTGATAGAAGAAATAGTCCAAGCCAACAGGATGAGTTTCAGCAGAGAAGCAGGCAATGACCTGCTGTGGAGCAGCTGGCATGAGTACACAAACGCAAAGTGAGATTCAACAGGCAGCAATCCAGCAGAAATGACTTCTTGGAAGCTGGAAGAGGAGAAAGTGGAGAACCTGAAGGCCTTTACCACATGCAAAATGCTCTTATGACAAGGCTAGTACCAGTTGTTTTCCGTGTCTTTGTGCATGAAACAAGAAGGAAAAAAATAGAGCACTGTTGAAGCTTTTGTGTTGAGATTTTCCCCCCACTACCTGTTTTCCATGCACCCAAGTTGTACACACTCTTCTCACAAAATGTGACCAGTGTTTCTGTAATGCAAGCATATTTTCTTAGACAGCAGACATCTTCTTGGTAAGGTATTTATAGCTTCAG